TTTAGTGGTTGATCTGTACGGCTCTTGGGGCATATTGATCCTCTCAGTTATAGTGAGGCCAGAAGGAGGAAGAGTGGAGGGTTTAGTTGGAGATATTGATTGTTTTTGAGGAGTAGGATCCATAAATGCTCTACCTGTGGTGGTCAATTCAGAAGGGTGGAGAGCTTTCTTCTGCAGGTGGTATGGGAAATAGAGCGAGGCTTTGCTCTGCATCATCATCTTGAGCTGAGAAGAAAAGAAGACCCTTTGGCTTTTGAAACTAGCACTATCCAAGGACGCTTGGTGGAAACCGCCTCAACCCGGGAAAAGTTACTACGCATGCGTCATATCAACGCCCACGCCTTGTTTGCACCTTGAGCTACCACCCACGCGATACCTCGTGTTCCCTGCAGATCAAAATGGAAGGACTTACATTTCTTCTTCAAACCTTTGTCTCCACTCTAGCCAGCATGATGGTGGGATTCTTGTGGCACTCTGAGCTCCTCTTCGGTAGAACCTGGTGGAGGAACACCTTCCCAGGGATCAGATTCGGCGATACAAAGTTATTCAAAGAAGCAGGGAACTTTCCACTCTACATGACAATGATAGTAACAATAATACAGAATATAGTACTAACATATGTTATTAATACACTCTATCCCTTACTGGCCCAGTCTACAGGGGATGGGGTATTCTTTCCAGCTGCCTGTAGTGTGATTATCTCCATCATTCTTTCCTGTGTTATATTCCCTCACTTCGTCTACAGTCGGAAACCTTTTGTACTCTATCTGATTGCAGCTGGACACAATGTATTCCAGACCACAGCCGCTATTTTTGTAATCTATTACCTCATAGCAACCGGCAAAGACTAACAAACTATTGACTACCACCATTATATAACCACAACTCACATTTAATTAATTAATAATGGTTTATTTAATCACGGGCTCATGTTATCAATTAATCATTTTGTTGTATTTTTTTGAAGATTTTGATAAAAAATTAGCTGATCACACCCATCCATCATATAATATACTAATAATAAACGATATAGATCCAATCATAATAAACTATATATTATTCATATAAACTATTATATACAACAGTAATCCCATCTACACAGTATACACTTGAACTAATAGAAGGACTCAATAATGTCACTGTACTTAATGGTGATGAACCTTCTTTTAAGCTTCATGGTGTGAGCTGAGAGAGAAAAAGAGAGAGTATATTAAATTTTAATTTTTTCTGTTGTTAATGT